CGTTGACATTTTCTCCCTAATCCCGGCCTCTTTTAAAGCCCGCCGGAGGTGTGAGAATGGTGCTGTCTCGCTGAGTACAGCGCCAGGACATGTTAATGCTTCTCACCCCAGAAAGGCAGATGAACGCCTGGCCTTTTGCCTCCCCTCCCTCCCCTCAGGGATCTTCAAACACACAATGTTCTGCAGGACTGGCGTCCCAGATGGCTAACTAGGTGACGATAATTCGAACCGAGGCCCGGCTGGGAACATCCAGTGCATCACTTTGTAACCAAGAGGAGGGAGAGGCTGGGCTTCGGTGGAAGGCGTTGAGGAACGCAGAACAAAAGCAGAGGCTCAGAGAAACCCATCTGGATCCATGTGAAGCCTCAGCCACAGGGCTGGGTACCAGCCCATGCCCTCAGCGCCATCACGTGCCACATGCTGTCGGCCAGCTCATCTCTGCATCATATTCCAATAACATCAACGAGGCTTCATCTTTCTACATTGTTGTTTTGCTTCCCCATATTTTCAATGGGTGACCTCCTCCCCAAGCTCAGCTCATGTCTTTCTCATATATATATATATATATATACACACACACACCATATATATATATATATATATATATATATATATATATATATACACACACACACACACACACACACACACTCATTTTTTAACATATAGGTTAAAAAATCATTTACCATAACTTCTTATCTTATACAATGTTTTAGACTTCCGTCAACAACCTCTGAAGATTTTCCGTTCTTTATCCCTTGTTCTGCATTTCTTAATTTCTCTATTAGTTTTAATTGTCCTTAACTAATAATTCTTCTCAAAGTCTTCCTTGCAATAGTTCACAAAGTCCTCCTTACAGAACTTCTTGCAGTCCTACTAACGTAATCTGCTGATCACAATTGCTTTTCAAATAATTCAAATATTTGCTCCAGTCCTGTGCATGTGCAGATGTAGCACTGCAGGTTGGGAATGTGCGTCCTGCACAGATCATGTTCGCAACCTGAGCATCCACTGTATTATTATCATCATCACCACCACCATCACTGTAACACCAGCTTTGTGGCTTCCAAAGGCATCTGTTTGACTGATGCTGCAGTCAATGGACCAGCGCTCTGAAGAGTGCAGAGTCCACACTTCTTCCCCGACACCTTATGTACCTCTTTCCACTCCATTGCAAGCAGTGTGCTCTGCAATCTTTCCCCCTTGCTTCTAATCCCACAAAGCTCTGCAGGTGGATCCTGATGTTGCTTAAGATGGCACACGATAACCTCTCCATCACTATCTGATAAATGATGGCATACTGCTCACCTGACTGGAGAAAGCCAAACACTTTTGCTGCACGTGAATCTAGCAGGTGTCGGGCTCAGGAAGTTGTGAGCACAACTAAGGCAGGGAGCATCATTGAGGCTGTTTGAATGGTGGATCTGCATGTATTTTACATCAGGGCAGGGAATCTGTGGCCAGATGATAGCCAAGTATATACAGTTTTTGCACGTATTACTTGGCCTTATGCTGATGGGAGCAGCGGCGGTTTTAGGGTAGCGCAACCGATGCGGCTGCACAACAACATGGTGGAACGAAGTGTGAGAGGTGGGGGGAGGCGAATTTTAGCATCGCACAGGGTGCCGCTGAAAATTGAGAGCCCAAAGTCTGCCACTGGCTGCAGAAACGCACTGCAAAATTCTGAGAAGTGCAAATTTGGAAGTCTGCATTCCAGTTCTCGCATAACGTCAGTTTATATCCTTTAACTGTGAGCTGAATTGAATTTCTCCCCTCTCAACCTTTCAAACGCCATCTTCCCTCCCCCTTCCTTCTTCTTTTGATAATCTGAAGTTGCTTTTCCTCACCCGCACGGAAGGAAATGAAGTTGGTCGCGGGTTCTCCCTGCTGCGGAATTCAGATCAGATTGAAAAACGCTCCTTCTTGGTGCCAGCTTAGAGTCTGTGCATCTGTCACTCTGAGAGCGTTTACCAAGCAACCAGATAATAATATCATCTCACCACGAGTGCTTTTATTTACCTTCATTTTCTCAGAACAGCAAGGCATGGGTGAGGAGGCCTCTTCCGCCGTTGAGTGGCGGTTCTGCCTTGTGATTAACAGAGACAGGCATGAACCGGCTCCAGCCAACACAGCCCCAATTAATCTTGACCCATGAGGCAGCGGTCCAAAATAATTATCCTTTGAATAAATAGCAACAGAGCAGAGACCGAAGGCCTGGCCTGCAGCAGGATCGCAGAGATCTCCATCAACGCTCCATTCGTAAGTGTCATTGTGGTGCACAATGAAGTCCCCAAAGGATTGGTTACAAAGCTCAAGGAAATGACCCCACTGCTATTAGAAGCTTGAAATTGAGAAGGGAAAGCTAGCGATGGAAGATGCGTGAAATTGTGAGAGCGTTAGGCTGAAGGAAGGCTTGGGTGAAATCTTTAGCCAGGGTTCAAGCCTAGAAACTTGTATTTTAATATTTTGCTAGAAGCCGCCCAGAGTGGCTGTGGAAACCCTGCCAGATGGGCAGGGTCTAAATAAGAAATTATTATTATTATTATTATTATTATTATTAAACTGGTGGGTTTTTTTCATGAAGACCCTGCTGGATCAAACAGAAAAACTACATCTGGTCCAGCATGGAGTAGTGGCCAGATGGCTCCAGGAAGCCAAAGAACTGGGCACGGACAACAATCCTACAGCCTGGATAGCTCAGTTGGTTAGAGCATAATGGGGATAATGCCAAGGTTGCAGGTTCGATCCCCGTGTGGGCCAGTTGCGTATTCCTGCATCGCAGGGGGTTGGACTAGATGATTTTTTAGGGTCCCTTCCAGCTCTACAATTCTTTGATGACTGACTTAGGTTTAATATTATCAATACTTTCAGTCCCAGCCAGAGAGGAATGGCAGATTAAGTTGATGGATTATGTCGAACTGGCAAAAACAACCGGAAGAATCAGAAATCAGGAAGACCAAAATTTTAATGAAGAATGGGCAAAATTTATAATTTATCTTAAAAACCATTGTAAACATGCAACATTGTTATGAGGATTGGAATAACACTTGTAGTTTAATGGTGAATCGTGGACCCAATGGAGAAGTAAAAGATTTGGATTATTATAAAAGATGCAGAAGGAAATGGTTAACAATAGGACCCATAAAGGGCAGGAGGGAAGTCCAGGAGATTCTATGGAATCTTGTCTTTATGTTGTATGTTGGAAATGTGATTGTAAAACTGTAATTTGAAAAACCAAATTAATTTAATAAAAAAATAAAATACTATCAATACTTTCAGCAGTGCTCAGTTGAAACCAACCCAATTTGATTCGGAAAATGCGGAGTACTGAACTTAAGACTGGTTAGAACCTGAAATTGCCAATTCACCCACCTAGCAATTGCTGACGCTCCTCCTGTCGTCGTGCCTCCAAGATGGCACGTATTGCATGTGGATTCCTGAGCAAGGCCGGCCCTACCATTAGGCAGCGCAAGGCAACTGCCTCAGGCGGCGGATATCCAGGGACAGCAATTCCTATATTCCTTCTGAGCATGTACCGTACATTGCTGTGTTCCCACATGGCCTCTTGCAGCCTGTCTTGCTGTCTCAGGTTGTGGTGGATATAGCTACCTCATCATCAACATCGAAGGAAGATTAATTTGCCAGTGTGGTTGGGCTCTGTAAGTGGAATTGGGAAAAGATGCCACCTCTGCCTCGGGTGGCAAATGTCTTGCACCGAGAGCAACTGCTCGAGGTTGCAACCACCTTGGAAAAGGCCTGCTGTCAATGTGATGAACTGATTGACAGACGCCGTGCCTCTCCCTGGATTCAACTGGACTGCAACCCTTGTGGTGGCTGCGGAGACGTTGCCAGACAGATCTGCCCCGATTCTTAGAAATTTCCCCAGCGATCCATGACGACATTAACGTTTCTTTAGAAATGGGGAGCAAAAGGCGTTTAATCCTCCGCAACAAACGCTGCCAAGAAGCCAAAGGCGGCAGCTTGGGAAGAGGTGTTGTGTTGTTGTTTTTGAATATAAAAAAAGCAGAACAAGACTCGCTGCAAGCACAACCAATATTCTAAACTTCTCGTTTTGTAAGAAGAGACAGCCAGCAAAATCCGAGCCTCTGACTGCAAAGAACAGGACAGACCTGGAATCTGTTGTTGTTTAACACCTCCTTTCATCACTGGCTTAGCAGATTTATGGATTATGCAAGGGGAGAGTATAAAGGAGTAGCTGTTGACATTAGTGTCAAGCAAAGTTGGGGGGTGGGAGGAGGGCTCTGCAAGGTGAAATCTGCAGGCCAAGCTGGTGGGACAGAGTTTGGGTAGGTGCTGAGCAGCAACGAGGTTGATTGGGTGTAGGAACCCCCTGCTGGGAGCACCCAATTGGCTCAATCGCAGCACCTGTGCAATTTTGACATGCCACCCCAGGGCCATCTAAACTGCAGTAACCCTGGTGTTGAGAGGGCGGGCTTTGGGGCTGTCTCACACCATTAAGGATGTCAGAGCAGGAGACAGACAGATATATTGTTGAGGACCTGAAGAATTATTCACTCAGATCTTTCTAAAGATATCAGACTAGAGGCTGAACTCTGAGGGCTAAAAACACCAACAGCTCACACAAAAATGCAGAATTATACCATGACAGTGATTTTACCAGGGAGCTGCAGGACCTAGCAAATAAGGACAACTGGAGTGAATGGAGGCAGCTGCCTTCTTCTGGAAAAACCCCCCAATTTGCCCTTCGACAAGCGAGAGCTAATTTAGACCCATTAACTACTGTATAAGCCAGACCGGTGAAACCTGACATACGTTGTCTGAATAATGCAATGCATCTTTGCCTTCTCAGTTGTTAGGGGGACGTGTGCCCCCTTGCCAACATGAAGCAAGTTGAGAGGCGGGGGGGGGGATATCTAAATATACTGTCCTTTTAAAGAAGTCGTGAACAAGGCTGATCGAAAAGCAATAGGGAACATAGCATACGATGCGTCTGGCAGAACAAGGAACACACACAAATAGTCCCTGGACTTCTGTATTTTATTTCTTCAAACGGGGGCATTTAGCACTCAGCACCTTGAGGTCCAACTGCTGTGGACAAAGCGGGGGGGAAACAGGGTAATGCTACCAAGATATAAAGCCCAAATTTGACATGGGCTTCCATGCTATAGCTTGCTTAATATAGCACGAAGAAGGGCCAGAGCTCACTGGTACAGTGTGACGGAAAAGTTTGTTTACTGAGCAGGTTGAGTTGCTGAGTGATTTCCCCCCTTGCCAGCAAACAGTTAACTAGCAACAGTTCCTGATCAGAAGTCTGATCTATGGAAGATGTGTAAAAGAGAGTAACCTTAAGCCTGAACAGCATACAAACTATAACTTAAGACAGGTATACATTTTAATAAAAAGCAACAGCATTGTTTGTTATATGTCTGTGGAAGAAGAAGAACCAAAACTCCTTGTTTACACCTGTTATAATAAAGTTTGTTTGAGACCTGTTTTCCCAAAAGGAAAACCCATTCTCCATTGGGGATTTTACCCGAGGGAAAGGGAAACAGAGGCATGGCGCAGCGAGAGAGAGGGCTGTTGCGCCGTGCATACAGCATCTTACAGAAGGTCAATTCCTGGAAACTCCAGGTAGTGTTGGAACAGACTCTTTCCTGCAACCCTGGACAGCTGCTGCCAGTCAGTGCAAACAGTAGTGAGCAAAATGGCCCACTGGCCTGACTCTGTATAAGGCAGCCTCCTGAGCTCCTGTCTCCTTTTGGTATTTTGTGAGTATAGTTCGGGTGAGTGGAGCTGGTTCAGAAAGGTAAAATGTATGGGGCACAGAAGGTTAGGGCAGCAGTGGAAGGAATTTGGATAAGCCCCAGATACTGGGGATTGTCTGGGAGATCTTGGAAACAATGGGAGAGCAGTGGGATGACATATTTTCATGGCAGGCTGATGGAAAGTGGTAGAGCCATAAATGAACACCAGTAAGGAGAGAAAAGAAGGGGAAGGAATTTATAGCACCAACTGTACACACAGCAGAAAAGGCACCAGATTCCTCATATTGCTAAGGGCACCTGATAAGCTTTTCCATCCTTTGATCTCCTTTTCAGTCTCTATCATCTTTTCGGCCTGGCCTGAAAATATGGGCAGTGGTGTTTGACAGGCAGAGGAGGGACACACCTCTGCAGGAAAGCCCTGCTAGGGAAACCAGTTTAAGCATGCCGTCATCGATGTGACCTCAGCTGCGGTAAATGTCATCAAATACATTTCAACTTTTCCCAAACCAAAGGGGCAATCGGCTTTGTATTCTGGGCAAGTGCTCAGAGAAGATTTGTGAGGCTTATGTCATGTTACTTGAATTGTGGAAATCGGCATATTGTGGCTCCCACTGCCCCTTTGACATCCCCAGAGGGACTTGATCTGGATGTGGCTGGAGTGAGACGCGTAAGAGCCCAAAGATAATACTTCTGAGGCTTAATCTCGGAAAAGCTGCTCGCGTATTTCGGAGCCTAAATTCTAACTGCGTGATGTCAGAGCAGGTCAGCCAATGACATCGAGGGCAGAAAGAGAGGCCAAGGAGTCTGCTGCAAGAATCAAAAGACCTCACAGGGCGAGAAGTTGAGTGCGCAACACGTCCTAATTAAGTCATGTGCAAATGTGCACAACCAGAACAGCCAGGTAGAGAACTGAAATACTCGTGCAGCAGGGTCATGTGATGCCGCTTGGGCAGGAAGTACCATTTCAGACTGCAGGAAGGGAGAAAATGCTTCTTTAAAATTTGTCACATTTAAAAACAACTACAACAGCAAGAGCCTCCCTGCACAGAATTCTAGCTTATCAGGAAGAATGTTTAGCTGAGATGTTTGTTTTCTATGGGGAGGGGGGCTTGGCTCTCCTCGCTCAAAACATGTCAAGTTCTCCAGCTGCAGTGTGGTATGGTTTAGCCCAGCAAAAGGCACACCATATAACCGTTCTGATCGTGCGGTTCGGCTGCGAGCTCTGGGGCGCCCCACGAAGAAACACCTGCCGAGCTTCCGAGTGTGATGCTCTGGCTGAAAAGCTCCGTGAGAAGAGGGGTATAGCAGAAAAATGACCTCGAAACGTTTGCGTGGACATGAAAAGACGGCGTGAGAAGTTGCGGCGCTGGGCGTTCCCGCGCCGGGAACGAGCTCCAAACCCCGCTTCCCTTTCCAAAAGGTTAACGCCATCTCCTATAAGCCAGCAGGGGCAAAGCTCTCGTGTGCGTTCAACGGGCCTGTGCAATTATGGCTTTTCTCCCCCCCCCCCCAAGAGGAATGTACATTAATCATCTTTTTGGGATGTGTGGTTACATAAAATAATCAGGCCTCCTGCCTGTTCCACTTTTCTCGACGTTCTCCGGTATATAATCAACGCATTCAGACTTGGCACACTTAATGGAAGCTGCTGGGGCTGGGGAGAGGCTTTGTGAAGGATTGGGGGGGGTGTCCTTCCATAACCACTCCCTCCCAACTCCATCTCGAAAGGAGGCTTCTGAAGAGTCCGTGGAAAGCATGATTAGAAGTCAGGCTGTACTTTTCACACCCCGTCAAATTATCCTGCACCCATTAGCTAGTGGCGGCGGCGGCAGGCCAGTTTCCAGCTTCCAAACCGAGCCATTCTTCTGAGGGTTCTGTGGCCTATTTGCTCTTGGCTGCTTTCTGGCGATAGATTTCTTCTGTGAAAGGCCTGGCAGAGGGAATCGGGAGCGGCATACAAGTTTGACAGGGAGACAAGAAGAAGAAGAAGAAGGAGCTGATTAACATGAGACAACCCCCATTGCCCCCGTCTCTTCCTGCGCCAAACCCACACATTTAAAGCGCACATGGCTTCCCCCAAAGAATCATGGGAACTGTAGTTTAGGGGTGCTGGGAACTATTGTTATTAATTGTATTTAGTTTGTATTCCCCCCTCCTTTTTCTGTTAAGATTGCAGATGAAAACCAGGGGGGAGGGTGCTGGGAGTTGTAGCTTCGTAAGAAGTAAACTGCAGTTCCCAGGGGAAGCCCAGGGGAAGCCCAGGGAACTGCCATCGGAGCCAGAGGGAGAGGGAGGGCTCCAGAGGGGTTCCGGAGAGCGTCCCGGGAGGGAGAGAAGCAGCACATCTTCTGGGGAAGGAAATCAGCGTAGCACCAGTGGAGAAGGGGGGCAGATGGGGGAATTGGCGAGGAGGCTCCATGACTCCTCGCCGGGGACCAGCAGGGAGAGCACGGGTCCTCCGCTGCCCACACCCTCCCTGCGCAGAAGGCTTCCGCGCAGGGAGACTAGGCGGAGACTAGGCGTCAAAGAGCTTCTTTGCTGGAAGAAGTTCAAGAAACGCCCACTGACGGATTCTGCCAGCGATTGAGACAGCCACGGGCGAGTGGCTGTCCAGACAGAAAGGGTTCACTCAGGCAACCCAGCCAGGTGGAGCACCGTTTTACGCACGAGCAACCCCTAGAACCATTACATGCCCCTACTGCCAAAACAGAACCATAAAGCCTTGCCTATACATGCAGGCCGAATATGGCGTTAAAAGGCTGGGGTGGCAGAACGGGCAAGTCCCTGGCATGCCCTCTGCCCCCAACCTTTGCCCCTTTCTCCAAAAAGCCTGGTCTCTGACTATTGCTAAGCAAGTCAGTTCTGTGTGTCACAGCTTAGCATAACCAACAGATGGAACCCAGGCTGGAGCTGAGTTTATAGGAGCGGATTTGATGTTAATGGCTCCTATAACTTCCTGTGGAAGGGATGCGGTTCAATAGAAAAGCATATCCTTTGCACAAATAAGGTCTCAGGTTCAGGCCCAGGTATCTCCAGGTAGGGCAGAGCAAGACCTGAGTCTCTGGAGAGCTGCTGCCAGTCTGTGCAGACAACATTGGGAGGGACCGCCTCTCCTGGTATGTCCGACAGAGGACCGTACGGTCTTCAAACAAAAACATCTTGGAGGTCCTGGGCCACAGGGAGGTTAGGCTGGCCTCAACCAGAGCCAGGGTTTTTTCAGCTGTGGCCCCGATCTGGTGGAACGCTCTGTCACAAGAGACCAGGGCCCTGCGGGACTTGACATCTTTCCACAGGGCCTGCAAGACAGAGCTGTTCTACCAGGCCTTTGGTCAGGGCACAGCCTGACTCCTTTCTTTGGCAATCTTCACAGAACTTTAGCCTAATGGTTGCCATCAATTTGAGTTGAATTAATTTTATAATGAAATGATTTTAGAATGTTGTATCATTTTACTGTTGTTAGCCGCTCTGAGCCCGGCTTCGGCTGGGCAGGGCGGGATATAAATAAATTTATTATTATTATTATTATTATTATTATTATTATTATTATTATTATTATTAGGCACAATGGACGGACTTGGTACAAGGCAGCTTTCTGTTTCTAAACTTAAATAAGAACATAGGAGGAGTTCCTGCTGGATCAAGCCAATGGCCTACATAGCCCGGCGTCCTGTTCTCATATCGGCCAACTGGATGCCCATCGCGGGAAACCAGAAAGCAGGATTCGAACACAAGGGCGTTCTCCCCTCCTGCAGCTTCCAGCGACTGGTATTCAGAAGCATTAACTGCCTCCAACTGTGGCGGCATGGCACAGCCGTTATGGCCAGGAAGCAGCTGGTCGCTTTCGTGAAACTGTCCTCTTTCAAAGCCATCTGAATTGGTGGCCATTGCTGGCTCCTGTGGCAGTGAGTTCCACAGTCCACAGTTTCATGGTAAATTGAATGTGGTTGACAAGAATGTTGTGGGAGAGGGTACCATGGGTGCTACACATCTCCTCTTCCCCCAGACCAGGGTTATGGGATGTTGTCTCCTTCTCACACCTAAATAAAAGGCATTTTGCTAGCAGGTAATTAAACTCCCCTTCTAGTCACCACCTAGGGGTTTCTCCATCAGCCCAAATGTGATCTGCGAAAGGAAGGGGGAGGAAGGGGGAGGTCTAACTCTGCTTCCTGAGTTAGACCTCCCCCTTCCTTTCGCAGATCACATTTGAATGAACGAACTGGAATTATCGGGAGCTGCCAGCGTATAATTAATGCAGCAGGAGACGCTTTTTCAACGAGTGTGTGGGTTCGAGAGAGGGAAAATCATGCATGGCAACTGGAGGAGTACAAAATGTTTCTTGCCGGTTTGGGAGGCCAGCCGTTTAATCGGGTCGGGTATTGGCCAAAAGTTCATTGCTGGTTCAGAGCAAAAGCTGTAAGAAAAGCCTGCTGGATCAGGCCAATGGCCTGTCCATTTCAGCATCCTGATCTCACAGTGGCCAACCGGAAGCCTGTGGGAAATTCGCATGCAGGACTTGAGCACAACAGCACACTCCCCTCTTGTAAAGGTAAAGGGACCCCTGACCTTAGGTCCAGTCGTGACCGACTCTGGGGTTGCGGCGCTCATCTCGCTGTATTGACCGAGGGAGCCGGCGTACAGCTTCCAGGTCATGTGGCCACCATGACGAAGCCGCTTCTGGCAAACCAAAGCAGTGCCTGGAAACGCCGTTTACCTTCTCGCCGGAGTGGTACCTATTTATCTACTTGCACTTTGGACGTGCTTTCGAGCTGCTAGGTTGGCAGGAGCAGGGACTGAAGCAACGGGAGCTCACCCCATGGCGGGGATTCGAACCGCCGACCTTCTGATCGGCAAGTCCTAGGCTCTGTGGTTTAACTCACAGCGCCACCTACCGTCCCTCCCGTCTTGTAGCTTTCCAGCAACTGGGATTCAGAAGGAATTCTAGTCTAACATAGGAGGTCACAGGTTCTCCCATGCCTGACTATCTGGCAGAATGCGGCAGCTAGAACTGGTGACTGGGAGCGGCGCCTTAAGCCCTAGCCGCAGTTGGTCCAGCTCTGAGGGCCTTCTGGCGGTTCGCTCCCTGTGATAAGTGAGGTTACAGGGAACCAGGCAAAGGGCCTTCTCGGTAGTGGAACGCCCTCCTGTCAGATGTCAAGGAAATAGGCAACTATCTGACTTTTAGAAGACATCTGAAGGCAGCCCTGTTTAGGGAAGTTTTTAATGTTTGATGTTTTATCATGTTTTTAATATTCTGTTGGAAGCCGCCCAGAGTGGCTGGGGAGACCTGGCCAGATGGGCGGGGTATTATTATTATTATTATTAATAATAATAATAATAATAATAATAATAATAATAATAATAATGTTCTCTAAATGACTCCCTTCCTGCCCCTAATGCCTGGAAGGTCTTCTCAGGACACAGGCAGACTTGCACATCTCTCCCTGCCCTGGCCAACCCCAGCTCAAACGCTGCCTCTCCCTGGAAGCCTTTGGTTTTACCTAGGCATGGGGTATCTCTCCAAATGGGGTATCTCTCCAGATGGGGTATCTCTCCAAATGGGTATCTCTCCAGATGTTTACAGCATACCCTTTGCTAGTGGAACTCTGTCCGGGGCATATGGTAGATGCAGTCCAAAGCATGAGAGCCGTCCAGGTCTTCGGTTAGATGGTGGGGCAGTCTGCTTAGGCCTACCCAGTGTTTCTCGGCCTGGGGTCCCAATGTTGTGAGAATCAACTCTATCGACAGCTATGACTATGCCATGAGTTGTACAACACATCTGGGAGAGCACAGGCAGAACCTGTGGCTAGGATCCATGGTCACATGGGCAGAGTCAGTATGAGTGTAGTGGTTAGAGCAGTGTTTCTCCAACTTGGGTCTTCAGCTGTTGTTGAACTGAAACCCCAATCATTCCTAGTTAGTGATCAGGGATGATGGGAATTGTAGTCCAACAACAGCTGGAGGAGACCCAAGCTTGAGAAACACTGGTTTAAGAGCGTTCAGATTCAGATTCCAGCTTGGCCACAACCTTGGGCCAGTCACTGCCTCTCAGCCTAGCCAAGCTCACTGGGTTGTTGTGGGGGGAGAGCTACGTGCGCTCCCTCAATCTCCTTGGAGGAAAAGTTAGGGAATGGATGCTGTAAGCAAATCAGTCAGTACATTTCGCGCTTGTGGGATCCTTAGTCTGACTCAGTGCAAAGCGGTTTCATATTGCAAAGGGCAGAAAACACACACACACACACACATGAGTAAGTTAACTGGGGGAGGGCGAGGGGAGAGTGTCTCTTCCCTCTACACAATTCTCTGAAACGAAATTGCTTCTGGTTATTCTGTTCCGCAAGGACCAAAGAGACTCACCCTTCGTACCGCAAAGCAATTGTGTAGCACAGCGCCACCACTGCCGTCAGGATGAGACCAGCTGGGCTCGCATGCCTGAGTTTGAAAAAGCGGAAGGAGACAAAGAGGTGAGAAACGGGTAAGTGGTTTCTTACTGCCCATATTCTAGAACGGCCTTATGTAAGACGCAGTTGAGTCAGGGGGCCGGGAAGCTGTTGCACTGGCCCTCCGAAGGAGGGTGCCCAAAGTTTCAACTTTGCCATCGGGTGGCAAACTCTCCCCACCTCCCCACTCTGTCTGCCTAATAAGGCCGTTGGCAAAAAAACCGGCCAATCTCTCCTTGGCGAAAACTGCCTCTTGACCTAATTGGGTCCCCCCTCTCTTTGCTAAGTTAAACAATGTGATTTTGCTTTCGGGAGATGGAATGATGAGGCTAACTCCTGAGATTAGGCAGGCTGCTTAAGGTGGTTATATAAGCCCACGGAAAGGAGTCAGCAGAATCGGATGAGGAACGACTCCCTGACCCCCAGCTCAGAAATGTAGGCCAAGGAGGTTAGAAAGAAGGAGGTAAAAGGGCGACTCAAAAGTGCCGACGTGCATTTGTTGTCTAGATCCGAAAGGAAGACTAAGCTGGATGTGCCCCTATATTTATTTATAAAAGTATTTACGTAAATACCACCAACTCTTAGAATATAATAAGGAGGTGTGTAATTATGCGCCCAATACAACAGCATAAAAATAGTACCAAAAATCATTAAAATGACATGTAATAATTAAAGTATGTTTCACGATCCACCCTATTCTTCTGATTCCGAATGCTTTGCATTTATTTTAACTTTGTAACCTTTATCATGTTGAAACCCACCCTAGGACAGATGGGGGTGGAATTAGGGCGCCGTTCATTTGTGGTTCTCCGTCAGGAGTGAGCTGGCAGTAAATCACACTGTGCAAGTTGGAGTTAACTCTTTATGAGCAAAAACACGGCCCCCTCAGACTGGGTTGAGTATCAGCCCTAATAAGCATAGCAGTTCATCCCCAGTAGGTCTTGCCTCACAGAGCAGTTGCTGAAGCGGAAATAAATAAATACATAAATAAATAAATAATATTTATACCCTGCCCATCTGGCTGGGTTTCCCTAGCTATTCTGGGTGGCTTCCAACAAAATATTAAAAATACAGCAAAACATCAGACATCAAAAACTTCCCTAAACAAGGCTGCCTTCAGATGTCTTCTACAAGTCAGATAGTTGCTTATTTCCTTGACAGCTGATGGGAGGGCGTTCCACAGGGCGGGCGCCACTACCGAGAAGGCCCTCTGCCTGGTTCCCTGTAACTTGGCTTCTTGCAGTGAGGGAACCGCCAGAAGGCCCTCGGAGCTGGACCTCAGTGTCTGGGCTGAACAATGGAGGTGGAGACACTCCTTCAGGTATACTGGGCTGAGGCCTCCCCATAGCCGTCTTCCCGTAGTCATCTAAGTCCCCTCCTCTCCAGGGGATTTTACTAATCAGAGACTGTGTCTGCATATCGCCAATCTCTCCTCCGCCTGTTTCATGCCTCTTCTGGTTCTGGGAGACAAGTTGGAGAGGGAAGCTTGTCGCAGTAGTACAGGGAGACACCCAGGACTCTTCCCCAGCCTGACTCATCTCTGCCTCTTGGCCTCCCTCCTCTCCTGCTTCAGCTTCTTCCTCTGATTCTGGGCTTCTCTCTGCCACAGACTCTCCCTGCTCACTAAGCCCTGTGACCTCTTCAGCTTCTGACTCCTCCCTCTCACCTGACCACTCATCGTTCTCCCACCACCACTTCCTGGTCCCTCAGCCTTCTAACCTTCTGCGTCCCACACCTTTTACCTTTCTTAACTAGTTTAAAGTGGCATCGCAGTAATCAGAGAGGAATGGAAAGTCAGGTTGTTGGAATACGCCAGGCATAGGCAAACTCGGCCCTCCAGATGTTTGGGTACTACAACTCCCATCATCCCCAGCTAACAGGACCAGTGGCCAGGGATGATGGGAGTTGTAGTCCCAACACATCTGGAGGGCTGAGTTTGCCTATGCCTGGAATACGCTGAGATTGCAAAACTGACCGGGAAACTCAGGAACCAAGAAGACAAAAACTTTAATAAAGAATGGGGGGGGGGTTATTTAAGAGACAACTGTAAGCAGATGAAAACATTAGCAGGATTTTTTAAATAACACTTGTAATGTAGCAAATAACATGGATGAGATGGGGAGATTTATAATATGGATTATGAAATAATATGCAGTTGAAAAGATGGGGAATAGGGATGGGGGAAATCTCGAGATTCAGAGAAATCTCTAAATAGGGATATCTATTTTGTATTACTTTGCATTTGTAAAATCAAATAAAAATTATTTTGAAGAAGTGGGATCACAGAGCTTTAAATGTACGGTGTGAATCTGACCCTTTTCTGTCTCTCTGTGGACAGTGTGCCTGATGCTGGGGGGGCAGGGGGGGCAGAGAAGTGACTAGGGGCGGCGTCACCCACAGCACTAACTCCAGAAATCCAGTTCCAAAAAGAGCTAAAAACCCCTAGCTCAATGGGCACGTAGCCTGACTTGATGTTAAGTTAGCATCATAGGAAAGCTGGTCGCTTCTCTGCCAGGGTTTTGGAGAAAGCGTTTCCTCATTGGCCGGCAACGGATTCGTCTCGATGTGACGTGTGTCGTCCTTTGATCTATCCGGGGCCTACAGAGGACAGAGCTTGTGTCTAAGCCCACTTAGAGGATTGTTTTGTTCTGATGAAAGCCCTGATCAAGTTCCTCTCCTCAGATCGAGCTGAGTTAGCCACTTCAGAAATGGGTCACAGCGGAGAGGACAAATGAATGAGAATGACCAAAAAACAGTATCTAGGTAGCGCTTGGTGATTGGCAATTTTGCTGCTGCGAGGAGGATGGCAGGCGAGCGAGACGCACTAACAATGTGGGGAAGGGAAGGACATTTAGATGCTGGAGTCTGATGATAAGGTTAAGTCACAGATGTGGAAACTGCCAGGTAAACAATTGGCCCACATGAGTTTTAATTTCATATACCGAAGAGAAGAAACGCGTATCATACGAGACCACGACGCAAGGCAGCTGCATCCCAGAAGTAGGTTAAATGTAAGGGAAACATTTTTTAAAAACAGACAGTGCGTATATCTGTGACGGCAGGCACCATCGTAGAAGGAAGGACACAACAAACCACTGTCTTAACTAGAATAAAGAACTATTTGATCATGTTTCGACAGCAACCATACATGGGTAACTCAAGTAATGCAAACTGAGCTCGTGTGTACAGTGGTACCTCAGGTTACATACGCTTCAGGTTACAGACTCCACTAACCCAGAAATAGTGCTTCGGGTTAAGAACTTTGCTTTAGGATGAAAACAGAAATTGGGCTCCGGCGGCGCAGCAGCAGCAGGAGGCCCCATTAGCTAAAGTGGTGCTTCAGGTTAATAACAGTTTCAGGTTAAGAACGCACCTCCGGAACGAATTAAGTACTTAACCCGAGGTACCACTGTACTAAACAATTGGGATTAAAATCTGGTGGATCATGTATATTTATTTGAACTTCCACTTGCCGCTTTTAAAACAACAACAAAATCAACATAAAAAGAGTTGCGAAAGTGCTCCAGGGGTTAGTGACACAACAGGCAGCTGCCAATCAACCCCATACAATATCTGGTTTCTGCTGGTCTGTTAAACCAGGTCAGGTGGACCTCAATGTTTGGAGCTTTCTGGGAGCAGCTGCCACCTGACAACTGCAAGGGCTGTAGCTCAATGGCAGAACAACTGCTTTGCATGCAGAAGGTCCCAGGTTCATTCCCTGCCATCTCCAGGGAGGGTTGGGAGAGAAACCCCCCTAGATTGTTGCTGGTGCAGCCCATTCTCAGCTAGGTGGGTCAGTGGTCTGGTTGCTACCTATGTTCTATGTGGACCAAGAAGAAAAGCACTGCTAGTGTTGGACCAAATCTTTGGGCTGAGGCCATAGTTTGACCCAAATTTGGGGACAGGTAAAGGTAAAGGGACCCCTGACCATTAGGTCCAGTCGTGGCTGACTCTGGGGTTGTGGCGCTCATCTCGCTTTATTGGCCAAGGAAGCCGGCGTACAGCTTCTGGGTCATGTGGCCAGCATGACTAAGCCGCTTCTGGCAAACCAGAGCAGTGCACGGAAACGCCGTTTACCTTCCCGCCGGCGCAGTACCTATTTATCTACTTGCACTTTGACGTGCTTTCGAACTGCTAGATTGGCAGGAGCAGGGACTGAGCAACGGGAGCTCACCCCATCGCGGGGATTCGAACCGCCGACCTTCTGATCAGCAAGTCCTAGGCTCTGTGGTTTAGACAACAGCACCACCCGCGTTGGGGACAGGCTCATATGCAAAAAGGGGGTGGTAGTGTAAAAATACATCCTGATTTGGGGGGTCAAGAAATGAATCTTGAGGGCAGAGGAAGCTAAACTCATCTACATCTCCCCTGGCTCTAGTCTGAGAATGCCCCAGCAGGATTTTGGCATGGCATTGTTCCAGAACAGCAGTCTGATGGCAGCAAAACAGCGACTAGCAACTCCAAGGAGCCCAAAAGATTCCAGCGAGCTTTGAACCCACCACCCTCTAAATTCCATCCCTCCCTCTGAAATGAACCAAAATGCCGCCACCTGCTTTCTTGGGGCTGCAAAGGGGACCTCGAGAAAAGGAGGTGGCATTTCGCGGACACACAGACTCAACTCATGCGGCAGATCGAGAAGTTTCTGGCTTCCTTGCAGCAGTCAACAACCGACATGACCAGTCAGTAATCAACCTGACCTGCTCATTGCATTGAGCAAAAGTCATTACATCCCATCTCTGAGCCACTGAGTGACGCTCCGGGCAGGCAGTGAGATGAGAGCCTGTTGGGTTCTTACTTCAAAACATTTATTTGCTTCAGGGGCCCAAACCAGCGGCTGACCTTGTTAGCTGGCGTGCAGGAAGAAAACAATCAATGTGGCGTCAAGGGGCCGAGTGGAAGAAAAGCTGGATTGACTTCTCCGGCTATTCAAGAAGCAACTATTTTCAGAGAGAACCATCATAAATACGAGTGATCAGTCCTTGATCATGTTTCTCTCCCCTTTTTGCAATCTCATTTCCAGGCCTCCTCAGTAAAC